TCATCATATCTTTGACTCTGTATTCTTTGGGAAGTATTATTTCCCTGAAACTGGAAAAGCAACAATGGCAGTTCTGATGTTTAAATCCTACAACCATTAAATGTAAATTCTTGAACATAGAAATATGCAAAGTAGTTAAGTAAGTCCAGCCTCTCAAGGAATTACGTGGATTTCTGCAGTGTGTCATTTACAACAGTATTGTTCAGTGCTGCGTAGCATGGTGAAAAACTTGACTTTGATTTTAAATGTCCTGCACACCCACACAGGTGTTTTCAGTTACCGTGTCTGAGACCTTTTGTCAGGTGGAAGTTGGGTGAAGGTAATTTACATGATTTCATGAAACCTGATTTACTGCTAAGAATAATGAAGGTGAATAATGAAGGTGAATGTTGTATGGCACTAACAGGTGAGAAAAAAGAACAGAAGTGGGAGAATATGTCAAGTGCATTTTTTAATTTTATTTATTTTTAAATTTTCCTACATGTTTACATTAAGATAGTACATGTTTTCATAATTTATTTTTCATAATTTATGTATATAAATTCATATTTAACTACTTTTATTTACATCAAAGTGAGTAATGTTTATGTTTATGTTTGTATTGAACCAGATATTACTGCCATCATTCAAGTCCCTCCATCTGATCCAGTTTGCCCAGAAAACTCAGTGACTCTGCAGTGTTCAGTCTTCTCTGACTCTGAGAACAAAACATGTCCAGGAGACCACAGTGTGTACTGGTTCAGAGTCAGATGAGATGAATCTCATCCCAGTGTCATTTACGCTTTGCATGAAAAATTACCTGACGTTGCTGACGTACTGCGGTAAGCGTGTTGACTCATTTCCATTTCCGGTGCTTGTGTGTTGGTACCGTGTTGTGCTGCTCTCGCTAAATACCAGTTACATTTGTTAGATTACAGCGGCCAACTGTCCGCTAAACACTTATTCTTACAGTAATTTTGCCTAAGCACTCACAGTTCTTTCCATCTTTTAGTGACTGCTGTTCAATCTCATAGTTGTTCTAAAGTTTTGGTAGCTGACGCTACAGTACTTTAGCTTAGCAGCTAGCGATGGCTTCTCCTTCTCCCTTTCTCTCTCCTACTTTCTCCTGCTCGGTGTGTCAGATGTTCAGTTACTCCTCTGCTTCCTTTAGCAGTAATGGTACGTGTAATAAGTGTAGTTTATTTTTAGACATGGAGGCGAGGCTCAGTGATTTAGAAGTCCGGCTCCGCACCTTGGTAGATCAGTCTTTAGCTACTGTAGCTAGCCAGTCCCCGGTAGTCGGTGCGGAACGGCCTGAGTTAGCCTGTGGTAACCGTCCCCCGGGATCCCCTGTGCAGCCAGGAAGGGGTGGCTGTGTGACTGTCCGAAGGAGGAATAGTCGTAAGCATTCAAAGCCCATGGGTCATCACCAACCTGTTCACGTCTCTAACAGATTTTCCCCACTCAGCGACACACCCGCTGAGAAACCAACTCTGATGATTGGCAGCTCCATTTTGTGAAACATGAAGTTAAGTTAAGTGCATCCCTGGGGCCAGAGCGGGCGACATTGAGTCTTATTTGAAACTGCTGGCTAAGGATAAACTTAAATACAGTAAGATTGTTATTCATGTTGGCGGTAATGAGGATGTTAAAACCTGGATGACCTGTAATTTTCTATTGTTAAACTCAGATAAAACTGAAGTTATTGTTCTAGGGCCCAAGCACCTCCATGATGCATTATCTACAGATATAGTTTCCCTTGATGGCATCGCCCTGGCCTCCAGCACCACTGTGAGGAATCTTGGCGTTATCTTTGATCAGGACATGTCGTTTAAGTCTCACATTAAGCAAATTTCAAGGACCGCCTTTTTTCACCTACATAATATTGCGAAAATCAGGAGTATCCTGTCTAAAAATGATGCAGAAAAACTAGTCCATGCATTTGTTACTTCTAGGCTGGATTACTGCAATTCTTTATCATCAGGCTGCTCGAAAAAGTCCATTAAGACTCTTCAGGTGATTCAGAATGCTGCAGCACGTGTTCTGGCAGGAACCAGGAAAAGAGATCATATTTCTTCTGTTTTAGCTTCTCTGCATTGGCTTCCAGTAAAATCCAGAATAGAATTTAAAATCATTCTTCTCACCTACAAAGCTCTTAATGGTCAGGCACCATCTTATCTTAAAGAGCTCATAGTACCTTACTACCCCACCAGAGCACTGCACTCCCAGAACGCAGGGTTACTTGTGGTTCCTAGAGTCTCCAAAAGTAGACTAGGAGCCAGAGCGTTCAGCTATCAAGCTCTTCTCCTGTGGAACCAGGTTCCAGTTTGGGTTCAGGAGGCAGACACCATCTCCACATTTAAGAGTAGGCTTAAGACTTTCCTCTTTGATAAAGCTTATAGTTAGGGCTGGCTCAGGTGAGTCCTGAACCATCCCTTAGTTATGCTGGGCTCCTCTCTCCTCTACTTTCTCTCCCTGTGTATGCAACCTCAGCCCATTATTGCATGTTACTAACACAACTTCTCCCCTTTCCGGTAGTCTTGTGCTTTCTCGTCCCTCTCCTCTCTCCTCCTATCACTTCCTGCAGGTGTTTCTGGCTCTGGAGCTGTGGAGTCTGGATCTGTGGCTGCGGGTCACCTGCTGCCCCCGTGTTCCTGCTCGACACCCTCTGCTACAACGACTATTGTTGCTAGTCTTATTGTTATTATTGTTATTATAATCATTAACATTACGACTGTTACCATTAACACTACTATAAATATCTTCCTCCTATCTTCATTTAGTCTATAGCAACACCACCTTTACTGTCTGTACCTCTGTGTGTATATTGTGTAGGCTGCCTCCCTCTCCTCTCTCTCTCCTTACATCTCTCTCTCTCTCCCTCTCTCTCCTTCACCCCAACCGGTCGAGGCAGATGGCCGCCCACCCTGAGCCATGGTTCTGCTCGAGGTTTCTGCCTCTTAAAAGGAAGTTTTTCCTTGCCTCTGTCGCCTAGTGCTTGCTCTTGGTGGGAACTGTTGGGCTTCTGTAAATAACATCACAGAGTACGGTCTAGACCTGCTCTTTTATGAAAAGTGCTGTGAGATAACTGTTGTTGTGATTTGGCGCTATATAAATAAATTGAATTGAATATACGGTAGCACAATAGTAACACGATGTACAACACATAAACGTGCTGTGTCATATTGTCTTCCTGTCTTCTGTTAAGGGAAATTCTCTTAATTCATGATCCTCACAAGATGAAATGACATGTCAGTTACGGTGATGTAATGTATCCATGTGTCCTGAACAGCGGGACCATAATAATGAGTATCAAGTCCTTCCACATATTTTGAAAATATAAAGAAAAATTAACCACATTGTTCTGGATCACTGTAGTTCACATCAAGATCAAATCATCTCTTTCAGTTTCAGTGTCAGTTGTATACTGTAACCCCACCATGAAACAAAAGCTTGATGTTGGTGTTGTTTCATGTGTCTAGGTTGGAAACATAGTTGAAATTATTTCCACTGTGGTAGAACAGTGACATGCCAACATAATGAGAGGCCAATCAGATTGCCCTGAAATTGTTCCCTCCCACTTGATATGATTACATTAAGGCAAATCATCCTCTAATACCATCTAATTTAACAGCAATCACAAGTCGATTAACCAGAAAATGCTGATCGTACTTTATTCGCTGCTGATGTTTACAGTTGGGCGTAAGTATATAAAGTCATATTTTCCATATCTATTTGAAGTATATTGTCATCTTCTTGCATCAGTTTAGCACAGGGCATATATGAATCTACATCTGTTGTCAATCTCTGCTGTATTTATTTGCATTTTTAGGATGCAGAGACGATCAGAACTTTGTGATAAAGGCTGTTGGTGTTGGAGAAGATGTAATTTTGACGTGTACCCGCCAGAAATCTGAGCACAAAGCAACCTTATTTTGGTTCAGACTTGTTTCTGGAAACTTTCCTGAATTCTTGGGAGGAACATTTTCCTTTGATTATGATGGTGTTAATGAGACTCCTCGTATAACAGCAAAACAAGAGCCTGGAACCTTTCTTCTCCATATTACTAAAACAAGCCTAAGCGATACTGGAGTTTACTACTGTATAAAAGTAAACGGACTTGACATGACATTTGTGAAAGCAACCTTTCTAAGAATTAAAGGTAAACATCCTGTATGAGTGCAGGTTTTATAGTTTATTTTCATACATGTATGAATAAAGATAGGTCAAGTTTCCATAATTTATATAAAAGTGTTTATGTATATATTTTCATGAAAGTAAGTAAAGCATGTTCGTGTTCACGTTTATATTTCCCAGGACCAGAACCTGATATCACTGCCATCATTCAAGTCCCTCCATCTGATCCAGTCCATCCAGGAGACTCAGAGACTCTGCAGTGTTCAGTCCTCTCTCACTCTGAGAACAAAACATGTCAAGAACACAGTGTGTGCTGGTTCAAAGTCGGATCAGAGTCTCATCCCAGTATCATTTACACTCATAGAAACAGTGGTGATGAATGTGAGAAGAGTCCTGAGGCTCGATCTCCTCAGAAATGTGTCTACAACTTCTCTAAAAACATCAGCTCCTCTGATACTGGGACGTATTACTGTGCTGTGGCCACATGTGGAGAGATATTATTTGGAAATGGAACAAAACTGGACACTGAAGGTAAAAGCAGAACGTTTGTATATATATATATCATTAATAATCATACATTTTAATCTGGTAAAATCCATCAAGATCATATTTTTTGGTTCAGGCTTATTTCTGAAAACTTGCCTGAATTCTTGGGAAGAATTTTTGCCTTTGAGTTTGATGTGTTAAATGAGACCGACAAGAAAAACAAGATCCTGGAGCCTTTCTCCTGTATAATTATAAAACTAAGCGAAACTAAGCAATACTGGAGTTTACTACTAGATAAAAGTAAACCAACACATTTGTTCCTTATGCATTGTCACATTATCAAAATAATAAGTAACTTTCATAATAGGTAACTTTCATTATTTTCACCTTTTCATGTTGTTTCAGCACTCATCATGTGGGATTTGCAGAAGGCCAAAACAGTTCTGTTTCTGTTGTGTGCAGCTTTGGCTATAAGTCTGATTGTTATTGTCTTTTTGATTTACATCATCAAAACAATCAAGAGTGGTTGTTCAAACGGTAATAAAAGTTACTCATAGTTATTTATAAAATTAAAACTAAGTTTAACTACTGCATCCTTTTTTATTTTTATCTATGTATTTACCATTTCTTAATGCAGCTGTTGTTGACCTGCAAAAAAACTGTGGTGGTCACAAAAGTCAACAGGTAAGGAATTTAAAGATGGGATTCATCTTAATAAACCAGTTATGAAGCTTTTTTAACTTTGTCATCTCATTTATTCTCTATTTTCTCAGAGAGATAAGGGCACAAGGGTTTATTCTGCTGTCTTCTTCTGCATGATGAAAGCTGACGGTGCAATAAAGGATGCAAAAGCAGCAAAGACAGAGAGGGTCTATGCTGCTGTGAAGGCTTTTGGGTTGGATTAGTGAGTTAACAGGTCTGTTTGTCATCAGTTTGTACGGAATGATACATTTAGTTAGTTCAATTTAAATAGATATACTGACATGATCTTGAATGTGTGGTTGAAATTTCCCATCCATTTCTTACCCTGTGCTGGATCCCAAAAAAGCTGCAGCCTGTCCCAGCTCACATTGTGCCAGAGGAGAAGATCACAGTGGGTGGATCTCCAGTCAATCACAGGACAAACACATACAGACAACTACATACTCACATATCTATTGGAAACTTCTCCAATTCCCCTAACCTTAATATCTTTGAACTGGGAGAGGAAACCCACATGGAACACATGCAAGCGAGTCCCATCTGTCCCAGGACCTTCTTACTGAACGGCAACAGTGCTAATATGTCATTGACATTTTGATTTATTTCAAATGTATTTAATGCACATTGTTTTATTAATGCTCAACATGTCTTTTAGTCATAATCTTTCCATTTATCCAGCGTCACTGCTGTCACAGTGATGCTTACATAGTCCTGTCATGCAAATGTGCATACTTGACATTGACATTGCAGGGTCCCCTGGTAGCAGACCATGACCTGGTTCACATCTGTCTAGTAAACTTCGTTACATGTAATTCTCATCTGTCTCCCCTCATTTCCTGCCATCTCTGCACTGTTGCTATCAAATAAAGAAAAGAAAAATAAATTATTTCCATTGATTTGATTTTCATTTACGTGGAAATTACTGAAATCAGGTTATCACTCATAGGTCCAAGACATTTTTATGTTTCATGGTGTAAGTGAAATGTGTTGGAGAAAAAACTGTCACGGTTTGTCGTGGCGAGCAGGTTTTAGGACACGGATAGTGCATGTAGTTCAAGGGGTTTTAATAAACAAACAAAAGGCGAGCTCACTTGCAAACGGAGTGGCTGAAAAATAACACAGTTCTAGATAACAAAGGTGATCAAACAGAATAATCCAGAACGAGTGTAAATCCAAAAACTGACAGAGAACAAGCAAAACGAGACAGACAAGCAGACAATGCACAGTAGCACAAGGTATACAAGGTAACAGGAGGTAATGCGCCAACAAGGACAAGACAGAAACACCAGGTATATATACACAGGGACTAACGAGCAGGGCGGGAGCTACACAGGTGACAGACATGAGACTAACGAGGCAGGCAGAGACATAGCAGGGAAGACAGAGAGAGGCAGGCAGGCAGAGACAGCAAAGGGGAACAAAGAGGCAGCCAGACAGAGTGATAACTGGGGGAAACAGATGGAATACTTGACAGGCAGATATGGGGCCAAGTAACCCACACAGACAGAACACAGACCAGAATAAAAACACTAAGACACAAAACTAGGAGCTAAGACACAGGGCTGAGATGCAGGAAACAATCTATAACACATGACAGACCGGTACAAAGAGAGCTGAACAGAACCAGTAAATGAACAAGGGAATACACAGAGCTAAACAGAGAACACAAGACCAGGAGTAAACACTAAAGACATGAACTAAAGTACAGGACTAAGAACAAAGACATGGAAACAAAACCAACTAAATAGCAGATACAAAACCAAACCCTCAGAATAAAAACCTGAAAACACAGCACTCAGGACAGGATTATGACAAAAAATACTGTGGTCAAAATGAAAGACCAAAAACTGAGGACCAAGTCAGATCAGAGGATATTTGAAAATAAGTTTATTGCATCATCATGAATCAATCTTAATGGAGACAGATGCCATATGGCAGTACACCTGTTGTAAGAAACTGTCTCAAGAATGTATGCAAAGCTCCCAGCATCGCTGTGCATCACCTCACCGTCCTTGCGGCCTCACCTTGCAGAGAGAGATGAGTTGTCTGTCAGTGCTCCCTCTCTCCTAGAAAGCACTTTGGTCAACTAGGGTTGTTTTTAAATGTGCTACATAGATAACCTTAAAGTTGAACTTGAACTAGCTGGCATACACACACACTTCTGCTAATGCACACACCTGTCCTTTTGTTGACCCTGGGCAGCCAGGCAGAGAGGAGCACACACACACACAGAGCTACAAAATTTTAAACATGTGATCTTAACATTAGAAGTGTAGTTAATAAGTATGTATTCAGTCCCTGCAAGTGTGTGAAGTGAATAGAAGAAGAAGACATAAGAGTACGGATGGGTGTGTTGATATGAAGGAGGTCAATGAGGTTGTGAATGGACTTTAAGGCAAGAAGCAGAATGTTGAAATCGATGCAGTATTTAACTGGAAGACAATGAAGCTGCTGAGAGACAGGACTGAAATGATTTATAGAAGAGGTTCTGCTGATGATAAGAGCAGCAGAGTTCTGACACAGTTGAAGTGTATGTATGAATTTCAGTGGAAGAACAAAGAGAAAAGAATTACAATAATCAATGCAGGATGTAACCATGTTGTAAACGAGAATGGCTGTACTAGTGGGTGGGAGAGAGGGACAGAGGCCTCCCTCTCTCTGTCTGTCTGGTTTTGCTTCCAACTCAGTCTAGCTTCTCCTGGGGGATCCCAAGACCGCCTGTCCATCTGGCGTTTCATTTTGCCGTTATTCTGGATCAAGATCCCGAGATACTTAAACTCCTGCACTTGGGGCAGCAACTCACTCCCACCAATCCACCATTTTCCGGCAGAGAACCATGGTCTCAGATGCTGGAGAAATATTGCCTAAGTTTTGGAAAAAGTGGCCGCAGAAAGAAGCAGACAGTTTTGCAGTTGCATTGTGTTTTAGAAACTTGTATTCAGGCTGTCAAACTGATGTGAAAAAAATAAAGACAGAAGCTAAATCCTACGGATTACAGAATAAAAGTGAACCACCACATTACCTGACTATAAGGCTATAACGTTACATTCAGAATTAAGTTAGCTAGCGTTAGCTAACTAACATTACATTAGGAACAATCCACAGCCTACACTTTTTTGTTTTAGGTGTTAGAAAGGGAATAAATAGTACTTCTCCTTTCAACCTCTGCGACTGTAACTATTACAAGTGCGCCAGGAACAGTGTTTCACCATATCTTGGAAAAATACAGCAAAAAAAAAACAACTAGAAAAAGATGCCTTTTGCATTAGAGACAATGGAGTGCAGCCATGAATTTGTCAAACCTCAGTTAGAGAGTCCTAGACTTTTCTGTGATTGGCCAGCTGTGTATTCGGGGCGTGGCATAATGAAGGATAAATTACGCAATCAAAAATGAACAAACCCCTTTGCTCAGGTTTTTGCTACAGTTAGTGCAGTGAATATGGTACACCTTTAAAATATTTTCTCTCAAATATATATAATGTTGAGCATTCTCAGATCAGAGAACCCTTTTGGCCAATAAAAGGGTGCCTGTCTACATCTATAATTTTTCAACCCAGTTGAACTAAAACGTCACCTACTAGCTACTGTTACAGTAACATAAGACACGTAATATGATGGATTTACAGTTTATCAAGGTCTTGAGTTATAGAAAACATTCATTCTGAGGGACCATGAGTAAACAGTTTGAGTAAAGCATATTTCTCTGCAACTTCAAATTTACTGATACTGGCTCGCAAAGTATTTAGGATGGCTCCTTTGCTTTGTGAATCACTGAAAATGGCTGCATTCATCTTTTTATTGCATACAAATCAAACCAATCAATTTAACTCCTGTTTAATGAGGTGAACCAAAATGGTTGTATTGTAAACCTTAGCAGATCAAGATGTTTTTATTAAATTTAATCTTAAGCCCATCCCTAGAAGTGTTTATGTTTAGTGCTTATCTAACAGCAACAATAGCAGTTTTGATTTATATACACTGCTAAAAAAAATAAAGGGAGCACTAAAATAACACATCCTAGATCTGAATGAATGAAATAATCTCATTAAATACTCCTTCCTTTACATAGTTCAATTTGTTGACAACAAAATCACACAAAAATTATCAATGGAAATCAAATTTATCAACCCATGGAGGTCTGGCTTTGGAGTCACACTCAAAATCAAAGTGGAAAACCACACTACAGGCCGATCCGACTTTGATGTAATGTCCTTAAAACAAGTCAAAATGAGGCTCAGTAGTGTCTGTGGCCTCCACGTGCCTGTATGACCTCCCTACAATGCCTGGGCATGCTCCTGATGAGGTGGCGGATGGTCTCCTGAGGGATCTCCTCCCAGACCTGGACTAAAGCACCCGCCAACTCCTGGACAGTCTGTGGTGCAACGTGGCGTTGGTGGATGGAGCAAGACATGATGTCCCAGATGAGCTCAATTGGATTCAGGTCTGGGGAACGGGCGGACCAGTCCATAGCATCAATGCCTTCCTCTTGCAGGAACTGCTGACACACTCCAGCCACATGAGGTCTAGCATTGTCTTGCATTAGGAGGAACCCAGGGCCAACCGCACCAGCATATGGTCTCACAAGGGGTCTGAGGATCTCATCTCGGTACCTAATGGCAGTCAGGCTACCTCTGGCGAGCACATGGAGGGCTGTGCGGCCCCCCAAAGAAATGCCATCCCACACTATTACTGACCCACCGGCCAGAACGTCTCTGTCACGTCTGTCACATGTGCTCAGTGTGAACTTGCTTTCATCTGTGAAGAGCACAGGGCGCCAGTGGCAAATTTGCCAATGTTGGTGTTCTGTGGCAAATGCCAAACGTCCTGCACGGTGTTGGGCTGTAAGCACAACCCCCACCTGTGGACGTCGGGCCCTTGTACCACCCTCGTGGAGTCTGTTTCTGACCGTTTGAGCAGACACATGCACATTTGTGGTCATTTTGCAGGGCTCTTGCAGTGCTCCTACTGCTCCTCCTTGCTCAAAGGCAGAGGTATCTGCTGCTGGGTTGTTGCCCTCCTACGGCCTCCTCCACGTCTCCTGATGTACTGGCCTGTCTCCTGTTAGCGCCTCCATGCTCTGGACACTACGCTGACAGACACGGCAAACCTTCTTACCACAGCTCGCATTGATGTGCCATCCTGGATGAGCTGCAATACCTGAGCCACTCAGGGTTGTAGACTCCGTCTCATGCTACCACTAGAGTGAGAGCACCACCAGCATTCAAAAGTGACCAAAACATCAGCCAGGAAGCATAGGAACTGAGAAGTGGTCTGTGGTCACCAACTGCAGAACCACTCCTTTATTGGGGGTGTCTTGCTAATTGCCTATAATTTCCACCTGTTGTCTATTCCATTTGCACAACAGCATATGAAATTGATTGTCAATCAGTGTTGCTTTGGACAGTTTGATTTCACAGGAGTGTGATTGACATGGAGTTACATTGTGTTGTTTAAGTGTTCCCTTTATTTTTTTGAGCAGTGTATCTTACATATCATTAAATGTAAATGCTTAGACATAGAAATACGTAAAGTAACAGTAATTAAGTCCACTCTGGTAATTAATTTCTGAAGTGTGTCATATACATCCAATGCTAAAGTTTACTGCCAAGAGGTGTGCCATTTGTGTAGCATGATGAAAGCTTTACCTTGACTTTAAAGGCCCTGCACACCCACACATTTTTCCAATAACCCCGTCTGATTAGACATTCAGTCAGGCGGAAGTCGAGTGAAGGGAATTACATGATGTCATCAGATTCTTATGACTTGTGTTGCATTCCAGACAATTCAGAATTCGTAAAAGTACAATGGACCGCCACTCAAATGAACAGAAGTGTGAGGATGGCTGTGATCGAAACGAGGCATTAAGAGCTGTTCCACACAGCTCAAATGACCTCTTTTTGTGTTGTAAGATGTCTTCAAACTGCTCCCGTAATGGCCGGTTACGAAGGCAGCAAAAAATTTTCAAGATGGCAGACAAACAAGCCAAATCTTTCTGCAAATATACGTTTTTAAAAGTTTTTAGTAGTTTTCTCGCTTTGATTTTTGAAAGGTTAGCAAGAACTAAACACTGAACTATGATATTAGCCCATGACTGTAACCAACCAAGTTAGTTAAGTATGATTTCTGAGTCGTCCGTTAGCCATTTGCCTTTTCAATAGCTAGTTAGCTAATGCTAGCGGCTAGCCAGAAGAGACATAAGACGGCGTGCTGATGTCACACGTTGCCGCACGTGCTGCTCTAGAAGGCTGATCAAAACCAATGTTAACAGAGATGCCTTCACTCAAAAGTGATGCTTTCTGAGGCACCTTTCTTCCGTTTCAAACACAGCTAATATGTCCATCAAATGCAGTTTGTACACGCCCACACAGTTCTGAGAAGGGGTCTAATTAAACAACATTAGTGAAAACAAATGTCTGACTCAACTAGGTGTGCAGGGGCTTTATTCATAGTTAATTTGCCATCACCATACTTTATTTCTAACCTTCACCATTTAGTTTTAGTAGCCATACCTTAACAAAAAACTGGCATTGAACATTTGAAATGTTCACCACTGAACACATGCTTTTTTTTGACAAGATGTTTTTGTACTTTGTACTACTTTTGATTTGATTTTTGAGTTTGAAAACAATGACATTACTTATTAAATTATGTTGGACAAAGACCCACGAATCCTAAAAACATATCACAAACCAGGCTACAACCCCAACATATACGGTAGCACAATAGTAACACGATGTACAACACATAAACTTGCTGTGCTGTGTCATATTGTCTTCCTGTCTTCTGTTAAGGGAAATTCTCTTAATTCATGATCCTTACAAGATGAAATGACATGTCAGTTACGGTGTGTATACAATGTATGCATGCGAAAATACAGCGGGACCATGATAATGAGTATCAAGTCCTTCCACATAATTTGAAAATATAAAGAAAAATTAACCACATTGTTTTGGATTACTGTTGTTCACATCAAGATCAAATCATCTCTTTCAGTTTCAATGTCAATTGTATACTGTAACCCCACCATGAAACAAAAGCTTGATGTTAGTGTTGTTTCATGTGTCTAGGTTGGAAACATAGTTGAAATTATTTCCACTGTGGTAGAACAGTGACGTGCCAACATAATGAGGCCAATCAGATTGCTCTGAAATTGTTCCCTCCCACTTGATATGATTACATTAAGGCAAATCATCCTCTAATACCATCTATTTTAACAGCAATCACAAGTCGATTAACCAGAAAATGCTGATTGTACTTTATTCGCTGCTGATGTTTACAGTTGGGCGTAAGTATATAGTCATATTTTTCCCATATCTATTTAAAGTGTACTGTCGTCTTCTTGCATCAGTTTAGCACAAGGCATATATAAACCTATATCTGCTGTCAATCTGTGCTGTATTTATTTTTATTTTTAGGATGCAGAGACGATCAGAACTTTGTGACAAAGGCTGTTGGAGAAGATGTAACTTTGACATGTACCCGTCCGAACTCAACCCTGTACAAAGCATCCTTATTTTGGTTCAGACTTGTTTCTGGAAACTTTCCTGAATTCTTGGGAGGAACATTTTCCTTTGATTATGATGGTGTTAATGAGACTCCTCGTATAACAGCAAAACAAGAGCCTGGAACCTTTCTTCTCCATATTACTAAAACAAGCCTAAGCGATACTGGAGTTTACTACTGTATAAAAGTAAACCGACTTGACATGACATTTATGAAAGCAACCTTTCTAAGAATTAATGGTAAACACCCTGTATGAGTGCAAGTTTTATAGTTTATTTTCATACATGTATGAATAAAGATAGGTCAAGTTTCCATAATTTATATAAAAGTGTTTATGTATATATTTTCATGAAAGTAAGTAAAGCATGTTCGTGTTCACGTTTATTTCCCAGGACCAGAACCTGATATCACTGCCATCATTCAAGTCCCTCCATCTGATCCAGTCCATCCAGGAGACTCAGAGACTCTGCAGTGTTCAGTCCTCTCTCACTCTGAGAACAAAACATGTCAAGAACACAGTGTGTACTGGTTCAGAGTCGGATCAGAGTCTCATCCCAGTATCATTTACACTCATAGAAACAGTGGTGATGAATGTGAGAAGAGTCCTGAGGCTCGATCTCCTCAGAAATGTATCTACAACTTCTCTAAGAACATCAGCTCCTCTGATACTGGGACGTATTACTGTGCTGTGGCCACATGTGGAGAGATATTATTTGGAAATGGAACAAAACTGGACACTGAAGGTAACAGCAGAACGTTTGTATATATATATCATTAATAATCATACATTTTAATCTGGTAAAAATCCATCAAGATCATATTTTTTGGTTCAGGCTTATTTCTAAAACTTGCCTGAATTCTTGGGAAGAATTTTTGCCTTTGAGTTTGATGTGTTAAATGAGACAGACAAGAAAAACAAGATCCTGTATAATTATAAAACTAAGCGAAACTAAGCAATACTGGAGTTTACTACTAGATAAAAGTAAACCAACACATTTGTTCCTTATGCATTGTCACATTATAAAAATTATAGATAACTTTCATTATTTTCACCTTTTCATTTTGTTTCAGCACTCAGCATGAAGGATTTGCAGAAGGCCAAAACAGTTCTGTTTTTGTTGTGTGCAGCTTTGGCTATAAGTCTGATTGTTATTGTCTTTCTGATTTATATCATCAAGAAAACACCTTCTGGTTGTTGCAACGGTAAGTGAAGTTTCTCATACATCAATCTATCAAACAGTATTTTGATTTGATTTACATTACTGATTTGTGTAAATGAACGTATAGCAACTTTAATCTCCGTTTTTATTTTATAACAGCTGCCAGTGCTCTGCGAACAAATGCTGCAAGAGCCAGTGGAGATCAGCAAAGTCTACAGGTAGGGTATATAAAAGAAAGATGATACTGAAAACATTAGTGGCATATTTTTCTCTCAACATATAAACAAGTTGTTAAACATTAACATTTGCCATCCCATAACATATTTCCATATATTTCCTCAGAGAGATGAGGAACCATTGGCTTATTCTGCACCAACCTTTACCAAGAGGAAAACTGGCAGAGCAGAGAGAAGCAATGTAAAAGCATCAGAGGGAGAGACAATCTACAATGATGTCAGGCCTTATTTTTTGGATTAACAATCCACTGGATATGTGGGGAAATATACAGTACTTCACATCAATTTCACATCTGATATTGGTGGCAATATTTTAAATAACCTTGTTAAATGTTAAATGTATCATTTTGACACATTTCTTTGTCCAGTCTGTTTGCAATCATTGTATGACTTTTTGAAAAATATCCACATTTAATAGTTTTAATAACAATGTACATAACATAGTTATAATTCTTACTTTAAGTATAATAAATAATGCTAGCACTCAAACAGGGTTTTTGGAAGATTTAACTTCAAAGAGAAAGAGTTCTTTTGTCTGACATGCAGTTTTAAGGCTGTTAATGTTTCCTATGTGTCAAAGCAATGCAAAAATAATTGTACAAATTGATGTGTGTATGCGTTATTTCCTTCCTTAAAATACAAAATTACATTAAAATAATTAATATAAAACTAAAAATGTTTTAGCATCATGTTCACTTTCTTTGTTTTTATAATGGCACAATTTTTTGTTTCCATGATTTGTTTATTTTCCAGTCATTCAGGATGCAAGTAGTTAAGAAATTGAGATAGATTGAATATCTTGTTTAATGTCTGCAAAACCGTAGTAACAACAACAATATCTTTAAAGGCCCAAACATCATAATACTTTTTTAATTATTTTATTTTTTTAATTTGAATTTTACAGAACATGGTGATTTGTCGTAATGCACTTCAAATGAAATGTTTGTCCTATCCAATTTATTTTGTGATTGTGGTGTAACCTAAAAGTTAAGGTGATATGTGTGGATCTGTTGAAACTTGATGTTGAGTTGTAGTTTATGACAGAGATTTGATAGTGATTAACAGTAGGTTGGTGACATTTTTCGTTGTTACACACTGTAGCTCTGCTTTAATCTTGAGAAGCTGCAGAGCTTTTCCAGCTAAACTGATGCTTAGTGTTGACCCTTGTCTCTCTGCTCTGCTATTCATCGGTCTTGTACAGAGTTCTGCATGTCCGCAGACTCGCCGAGAATTGCACGCATCTCGCGGTTCCTTGCACGTCTATTCTGTGTAGCCTACTTTTTTGAAAACCATATAATATTCTTTGTGAGATTCATCTATGGTAAATGATTCCAATTTCACACACAACTCTGCACATAAACAGCACTGCTGTTGTTCTGTCTCTCTTTCTTTCTACCACACACACACACACACACACACACACACACTACACTACACATACGTGCTGATGCCCTATAAGGGTAAAAATTTCAGATTGAATGTTGTATGGCACAGGTGAGAAAAAATGAACAGAAGGCGAGAATATGTCAAGTGCAGTTTGTACACGTCCACAAAGTTCTGAGAAGAGGTCTAATTAAAGAACATAAGTGAAAACAAATGTGTGGCTCAACTTTAGGTGTGCAGGGGTTTAATCATAATTGACATCAACACATTTTTATAAATTTTACCAAGTAGTTTTAGTTGACTTAACCGTACCTTAACAAGTCTCTCAAGAGCTGGCATTGAATATCAGAAACGATCACCACTGAACATAAGGTTTTGTTTGGCAATATGGCTCTGCCACTTCAGCATCTGTATGAAACGCTACCATTTGCCAAGTCCCAGTAACATAAAGGAGGCTAACCCTACCTACTAGCACATCGGCTAGGGTTGCCACCTTCAATACAGAAAAATAAGGGACGCCTGCCGGCGGGAGCCACACCCCTTGGAGGCCCGGCGACGACAGGCACGAGCATGTGCCAGTGATGCTATATCATAACTTAAAACATGTTTTCAGGAAAATATTAAGATTGATACCAAGGGATGTTATAATATATCTGCTATTGAAATCAGTGTGCAGAGATGCACTCAGTCTCTCTCTATCACAACTCACCCTCTCGGCTTCTTTTCCACCCCCCCCATGGGTTCCCGTCAAGATCCCAAGATACTTAAACTCTTGCACTTGGAGCAGCAACTCACTCCCACCAATCCACCATTTTCCGGCAGAGAACCATGGCCTCAGATGCTGACCATCATCCCAACCGCTTCACTCGGCTGCAAACCGCCCCAGTACGTTTTGATTAAGCCAACAAAACCACAACATTTGCAAAAAGCAGGAAATACACTGAGGTTCCTAAACTGGACACTTTCCCTCACCTCAGCTGTGCCTTGAGATTCTGTCCATGAATATCAAATAGGGGACAACAAGGGACAACGTTGGTGGAATCCAAAACCCAATTGACCCTTCACTAAGCCATGCCCACCTTAGTTACTGTTGCTAAGTCCAACAAACTGTGGGACCTGTCGGACTTTTATCATGGTGCTGCCACTGTCTATTACTTCACACCCTGGAGAAATATTAAGTTATAAGTTTTGGAAAAAGTTATCTCAGAAAGAAGCAGATAGTTTTGCAGTTGCATTGTGCATTTGAAGGTTGTATTCAGGATGTCAAACTGATGTGGAAAAAATAAAGATAGAAGCTAAAGCCTACCAATCACAGAGTTAAAGTGAACCACCACGTTACCCAACTATAAGGCCTTTATAACGTTACATTCAGTAGTAGGTTAGCTAGTGTTAGCTAACTAACATTACATTAGGAACAATCCACAGCCTACACTTTTCTGGATTTATTTTAGGTGTTAGAAAGTGAATAAATAGTACCTAACTATTACAAGTGCGCCAGGAAGAGTGTTTCACCATATCTTGGAAAAATACAGCAAAAAAAAAAAGCTACAAAACGATGCCTTTTGCATTAGAGACAATGGAGTGCAGCCATGAATTTGTCAGACCTCAGTTAGAGAGAGTCCTAGACATTTCTGTGATTGGCCAGCTGTCTTTGCTGTGATTGGCAAGCTTGCTGTGATTGGCCAGCGTGGTTTAGCAAAGGGTCAATTACTCAATCACAAATGAATAAACCCCTTTGCTCAGGTTTTTGCTACAGTTACTGCAGTGAATATGGTACAGCTGTAGAATGTTCTCTCTCAGATATATAATGTGGAGCACTGTGAGATCAGAGAACCCTTTTGAATCACTGCAAATGGCTGCATTCATCTTTTTCAATGCATAAAAATCGATCAATTAAAGGTCAAGTGTGTAATATTTCTAATGCTCTATTGACAGAAAGGCAAAATAAGTTTCATAACTATGTTTCAGTGGTGTGTAAAGACCTTACATAATAAACCATTATGTCTTTATTACCTTACAATGCTGTGGAGGTCGCTGTATTTTGTCGTCATGTTTCTACTGTAGCCGTCAATGAACGAACAGAGCTACAGAGCGCGTTTCGTCATCACGGCGTTCTTCTTCTGCTTGTGTCATTCCAGTAGTGTACATGCAGTCACTACATTGAATACGTACAAAGAAGAAGAAGGGGACTAATATTATTAGTAATATACAGTCTCCAAGTAGTCTTCTGGTTTATTAGAAGTAGGAAGAGAAGTGACATTTGGACAACTGAAGGAGCACACACGTATGATTTAGCACGAGAGCCGACAGCCAGACGGGACAGACAGCTGACGGCAGAAATCATGGATTTTGTGGATTTTCCCAGATTTATCTGATCCGGCTCTGAACCAGTACACACTGTGATCTCCTGGACACGTCTCATTCTCAGATTCAGAGAGGACTGAACACTTGAGAGTCACAGAGTCTCCTGGACGGACTGGATCAGATACTGTCGGCCCATGAATGACAGTATAGTTTGATGTCTTCTGAGTTTTGCCTGCATAATACAAAACTGTGTTAAAAGTTTGGGATCTGCACACACATGAATCTTAAAAATGCTTTAACAATAGTTTGGAGTTCAAATGTAATGTGAGCATAACATACAAGGATTTTGTATGATACTGTAAAAATAAGTGTTCTATAAGTATAAAAGGTAAATCCTGAGCGTATTGTACCTCACATAAAATTTAAGATTTTATTTTTAAATTTTAAGATACATTGTACAGCAAATTTGGAAATCTGACACTAAGTCAAGTTATTTATCACAAACATTGGTAATTAGCATCAACACAGTGAACTGTTAAGTGGTTAAAGTGATTCTAAAATATTACAAGGAACAGATCAAATAATTACCTTTTAATGATAAATAGGTGCCACTCCAAGTAACCTTAAACCACTCCACGACTGCACAGTGAAACATTCCCTCATCTTTTTCAATTGTCCTCAAAATGGTGAGATTGCTAATATTCTTGTATTCTTTTACTTCCAATCAGAAAAGTCTGGTCCATACTCAGGGTTTGTATTTTTCAGCAGTTTCAATATTAATTTTAGAGTATTCCCAGCACTCTGCTTGTACCACCAAAGTTGTTCACGGTTCAACCCCTCGTCAGGCAAAACACATGTGAAGGTCGCAGGTTCACCAAGTTGAACTGTGTTCACTGGAACCAACATATCTGAATGAAATAAAAACATTCAATAAATTAAACAAATTTGTAAATAACAAATTGTATAATGTAAAAAATGGGAACACAACAGAATAATCACATGAACCATCTAATTTGCATGCAGACACTTAAATAAAAAAACATGATTGTATAGCACTTCCTTGATGAAGAACAAGTAGTGTAACCCATAACAGGATCATCATGACACTGTCTTTTATTTGGAAACATGTTGGTATTTCAGTGAGTGAAGGAGGAGGTGAGATGATCCTCATAGGTCAGAACATCAGATGCATCTGATTGGTTATCACAGAATATACAATCAAAGGGCATTTCCTGCCTCACTGGTCTCGTCCTGATCTATATGAAGCATATTACCTCTCACTCTCATCCAATCACTTAACCATTTGATGTTTTTCTGAACTTTCTTTCTAACATTTCTTCTTAACATGAAATTGACTGCTGTTATGCCTATATCATCACTGCTCGTGCACTGATAGAAACCATTTCTCACAGTCTAAAAAAACATAACAAAACAAAGTCTAAAGCCCTTTATGCAGCTCTCTGAGGCTGTACTTGCTTGTGTTGAACACACGCCCCACTCAATGGTGGTGCAGAGGGGTGGCTTCTTGGACCTCAGTCCCAAATGTTTTCTCAAAAGCCCAGAATCTTTTAGGATTTAAAATATCTTCAACTTTGCTTTATATCCCCTCAGTCTCTCTTACTGAAGCAGCAAATCAATGCAGCACACACTCAATTACTGGGGAAATATCACAATCTATAGGTCCGCCCTAACATTGTCATACGTTTTTGTGTGTGTCCATTCACTCGTGTCAACCAATTTAGTAAGCTAGTTAGCTAGCTAACTAACTTATAACAATTGTTTTCACAAGGATTAATCCTCAGCCGCCATCCACAGAAGTGGAGCAGCAGCAGCAGCCAACGAACCGCAGACAGGTGTTGTTTCAGGTGTGTGAATCTGCAGCTGTAGCTGTGAGTTGGTGAGATTAGCTTAACAT